TTGGGGTAGTGTGGTCACGCTTTTTGTGGCCAGTAAGAAGACGTGCAGCGGCGTTCTGCACTAGCTGCAGGCGTCTAATTGAGGCCTGGTCCATACCCACATACAGACCGTTGCAGTAATCCAACCTTGTGGTTACAAAGGCGTTGATAACCCTTTCCAAGTCTTTAAAAGATAAAAACGACTTGGTCTTAGCCAATAGTCGTATTTAAAAAAAAAAAAGCAGGTTTTAACTACGCTGCTGACCTGTTTATCAAATTTAAAAGTGCTATCGAAGGTCACTCCAAGGTTCTTGGGAGGATGTTTTTTTTGAGGGGAGCCGAGAGTATCAACTGGGGAGGCTGGAGGTTGGGGTCCAAAAAAGATGACCTCAGTCTTACTCTCGTTTAGGTTGAGGACATTTTGGCTCAGCCAGGATTTGACCTCTGTCAAGCAGTCCATCAATATCTGTAAAGAGTTTGCATTGGAATTGAGAGGCAGATAGATTTGTACATCATCTGCATAACAATGGAAGGGGACATTGTGTTTTGTAAGGATTGAACCCAGGGGCAGTATGTAAAGTAGAAAAAGGATGAAGAACACAGTCCAGCACAGTTCCACCCATAAACTCTTCAATAAAATGTACACATTTCCCACAATGTCCACAAAAACTGTGCACTTTGAGCATGGATAAAGATAGCTGTTGTGTTAGGGCTGATGTATTGCATTACCTTTTACAATTGCATTGTCAGTGTACCTTATACACTTGACATACTGTATAGATTAGAAAGCCACATATGTCGATGCTACTGTATATTTCACATTATTCCCTTATCCCGGTAGCGTGGTACTTCTCTTGAAACCTTCGGTGTTTGTTTAAATCAATGTGCTCTATCATTACTTAGTGATTATGATTATATGACATTGTGCTGATCATGTCTAGTAAACCATGTCATTATGCTGTTAGACGGCTGAGCATTTCCTACTTCCTTTTCTTTCTGTTTCAAAGCTGAAGAGGATAGTTAACCCTGCAGAAAAACAAAAGGTCAAAGCACAGTGAACAGGTTTATCATGCAGAATGTTTTGTTCCAGACATGAAAAACGAAATCATATTATTAAACTACTTCAACTAAAGCGCCTAGCCTGCATTTTATCTCGCAACGGAGAGATGTGTGTGTACAAATTGCCCTGACACTGAAACCCAGTGTCAACGAGAGGTCAACAACACATATCTTAAAGTGTGTAGCTCATTGAATGAGCCTTTTTCCATTTGTGTTCAGTTAACTGTTCATAAACCAGTCCTAAATTACACTTTGGGACAAGTTTTTATGAACATATATATAATTTGAACTCGTAATAAAGCAACCAATGTGTCTCTAAACAACCACAGATGCATTTCTGCACCGCCGTGTGAATATGATTATGTGTCTGTAGCCTGCAGTTGTGGTGGAGGAGGGGGGGTGGTGGTGGTTGGAATCAGTGACATTCTTCAAGGCCAGTGTAAGATTAAAGAGCGGGGCTGCCGTGCCTCTGATCATATATTCACAAAAGATACCCTGTGAAGAACACATCTTTAAAGAGAGGCTCGGTGAGAATAAGAGCACTACTTGTGAATATTTGTGGCAGCCCATTATACATTTCACATATGCTCTATTACTGAGTAAGGAGATTACACCCCAGAGAGTTTTTTTTTTAGTTACCCTTCTCATTTTCAGTTTTTTGGTTTGTTGGCACAGTCCTGTAAGCAGCTGCCCCCGGTGGCACGTGTTTGTCCTCTGTGATGTTTTATGTGTGGAAACGTCATGGATCGAGGTTTGGATTTAGCCGGAAGAGCTGTGTTTTCTCCCTTTTTTGTTTTGATCATACAGAATCACTGCAACATTATAGCATTATGGCATTGAACTCAAAGAGCACTGATAAAGAGAAAAACAGCCTTGGGCATAATGTGCAACCGGGAGCATTTATGCAGAAATGAAAAATGTCAATAGTGCTTCCTTCCATAATATCGCCTATTTTACTGGCACACAACACTGGCCTGTGACTCGTGGACATAAATTCAGCGTGCACAGTACAGTAAAGCGAATAATGATTAATATAACTTTCATCTCGGGTTTGCTTCACTTGGTATAGCCTTGGGCCCTTTAATAGTCATGGCACAGGGGGAAGTAATAGCTTGCTTTTCTGCATGTCCTTCAAATGAAATGTTTCTCATTGGTAGATATATTTTACATATATATTCATAAAAACAGCTCCTGGAGAGGCGCAGAAACTGGCTGAGCTGCTGAGGCTATTAATCTAATAATCAAGTGTTTCAGGTTGCTCTTAATTCAATTGTCCCTCTTAACATTTCCCTGCTATGTCAATCAATGCGCCTGCCTTTAAAGCAACAGAGGAGTTATCCATTCCTGCGCCATTAAAACATCAATGTCTCATTTCTGCTAAATGGCAGAGGAAATAATTGGCATATGTGCATGCATATTAATTAACTGATAATGAGACGATAAGGCCCCCCTATCTGCAGATGTGGAAACACGAATCAATTGGCAGTGAAATGGGCTAAAAATGTGCTTCTTTTATCCCACGACTGAAATTAAAAACCTATTTAGTACCACGTTTTTCCAACAAAGTGCTTTTCATTTATCTTCTCCAGCACATTATTCAATCACACTTTCCATTTGTATAATGGTAATATTTTCATGTAATTTCCCTCTGCCTCTGAGATGATTATTTTTGATATGGCTTTGTGAAATGGCTATTCCATTCCAGCTCCATTCACTGACTGGTAATACATTTACAACCTATATTTCAGATTAAATGTCTTCAGCAAATGGAGCCGCCTCAGATGTCTCACAGCGGCGTGTAAAGACCACTTCTGCTCCCTGGTGGCGGCACAGGGAACTGCAGCAGTGCTCGCCCATGCACTCTGGCGGCACAAACCATAAAATACTTGTACCATTTTTTTTAAACCCAACTCTTGGCAGCATCTCCTATTTTTCTGTGTAAAGCACTCACTATCTGTGACTCTGTGTCTGAGCTGCAAGGTACCCACAGCTGAAGCATAAGCTGACTATCTTAAAGGGATGCTGTTTTAGCCTGCAGCACAATTGGAAGCGTTTGAAAGAGTGTGTTGTAACTATCAGCTCTGACCAGAGGTGTGTGAGCGCATCAGAGGATGAACATATATAACGGCTGTGGAAACAAACAAAGGAAAGAAAACACCCTAGAGGGCCGTAAAAAGATCTAAACAGAGGCTTGAAAAGAATATAAAGGCAACACAGGTACAGAACACAGTATTGGAATGGGTGTATTCAACACAAAAACATTTTCTCGAGTATGAACATAGCTATAATTCTTCCGGTGTGTGTTTTAGTTTGTGTTGCTGGCCCAGTTGACACACAGGTTGATGGACAGTAGTGCAGCGTCGCCTCCTCCTCCTGCTGACAGGCCCTCCTTCACCCCGGACAGGACAATCTGTACACACAGCGACACACACACACACAGACCATCTCAGTCACCACACAGCCCATTTGTCATGTCAGATAGCCTCAGAGAGACATGGCGGTCAAGTTACAGAGGTGATTGTATCAAAGTGACCCCAATGCGATGGTCATAAATTGCTCTCTTTATGGCACGGTACCGTAATCTCATTCCTTTGAAAGAATTGCAAACAATGAAAGGTCAAAGTCGGCTGATAAGTAAAATGAGGAGACATTTTAATGTGAATTCTATATAAAGGAAGGAGACAACCTTTTTTATTTCTTACTTTGAGTAGAGTTAAGGATGAGTTGTAAAGATAGCAATCAGCTTGCATCGTCCATTTCTTCACCCTTGTCCTCGTCTGTATTCCCATTTGTTTCCGTTGTGGCTTCTTCTTTGGTGGAAGTGGAAGTCTTTGGCCTCTCCTCTGGCTTTTCAGAAGGGTCCACCACTGTAGTGCCCCCCCGGCTCATGTTGCAACCCATGGTTTGGCAAGAAAAAACGACTACAGTGTGCTGAGTAGTCGTGTAGTGTTGAAGAAACAGTCGAAACCTTAAGACCTGTGTGAGTGTTGTGGGCTAAGGTGCCTTTGTTCTCTATGGCAACCTCAAGACTTCCTGTTGAGTTTGACTGTTATTCAGAGAGCCTTTGTCCACACCGCCCTTTTTGTTATTACCTCCCAGGCAACATTGGTTGAGAATTAACTCAGTAGCGTGCCGAAGCATGGTTACAGATAAACACTGGAAGGGTTTGTGTGTCGATCACGGCCACGGTTACCAACAATGGATCTGCTGGGAGTTTCTGCTTTAAATCAGTCAGAGGAATTTATTAATTCTGCAGATTCTTATTTTCAGGTCTAATGGGTCTCTGGATACACACACTGTACATCATTAGTTTGGTAAACACACAGCTTTGTATCAAGGTGGAATGGGAGAAATAAAGCTGAAAATGATATTTAATTAGCAGATTATACTATATAAATGATCTGCTTCTCATTAGCTTTCCTAGCAGAGTGAGGCCATGACACTGAGTATATAAACCAGAGAATAGAGATTAAAGTGGGCATTTAACAGAATCCAGTCTATGCTTGATATGCCTGTGACAATTTAAGAATACATGTTAGTATTAATTCAACAAAACTGATAAAGAAACATACAAAACATATTGTAAAATGTATTGTTTATTGGTAAATGCATTTTGGTTAGACCGACTTCTTTTGAAAATGCTTGAAAAGACAACAGATTAAGCAGAAAAGAATGTCTGATAGTTATGGTTAGACAGCTGTAAATATATATATATATATATGCGACAAATCATCATTGTTGAATAAAACTGAAAAAACCCATGAAAGAAATGTAAAGTGACATACAAGAGTATAATTCTTCATCTAATATAAAATCTAGCCCGTTACAATCAAGTCCTCAGTAAGGACATAGGGCTGCACAATAATTCACATTTTATCAAAATTGGACTAAGTAGAAAGTGCAATATTTGGAAAAGACAAAACATGTGAAAATATCTATCCCGTCCTACAAACGACATACTTCTATTGACATGATAACAAATCCCTTTGGTATGAATCCTCTTTAAAAAATGACACCATGATCAATGTATTTCTTAATGATAAGGCTTCCATGATAATTTCCTCTAATTATTGCATGTCACATTGCAATGTTATGAGTCTGCGCTAACGTATAGCTCACTTGGTAGAGCGGGTAGCCTTTATTCTGGAGTTAGGGTTAGACAGACACACACCTATGTGAAGGACCTGAGTTTGAATACAGCCTGAAACCCTCTGTCTCCCCCTTTCAACAATGTCACTTTTATAAAAACACTGTTGGCACAACATTTTGTTTTCAAATCCTGTAGCCCTACCATAGACACGAGTAGTGCTTTACATTATGCCCGTCCCCATTTGATGGGAAAGAAAAGTTAGTCCCACAGTTTTAACTACAGTTCTCATACAGACTCCAAGGAAAGTAACCTGAGCACTTTGGAGACTACTCTTCAGCAAATTCAAAAACCTCCACCAGGGGGCAGCGCAGGACGACAGCAGTCTTTTACTTTAGGCATTAAACGGAGGGATTACGTGCATTCTTAAAGGACAGAAAGTGTACGAAATAGTGCAATAAGAGCAAAAGGACATAATTTTCATCATCACACAGACACGACAAACAAAAAAATCCAGCACCAGTCACTTTTACACTGCTATGGATAATTTTGCACATCTTTTTCATACTTGAAGTAAACGGTTATTTTGTTTTTTGTGTTTTTTTTGTAAATGATTGAGTTTTCTTGAATTTTAATGTGTGAGTTTTTTTATACCTCGGGACTGTGGGAAACAGTATTTCGATCTTTCTGTGTGTACAAACATATTTTAAGATTGACAATAAAGTTGACTTTGACTTAATTTTAGCACGGACAAGACTTTAAATTGACAGATTTTTGCCTAAAGGAATTTTTTTGTTTATATCTGTGAAGTTGCTCTAGCTGCCACAGTTATACCAGCTCAGAGTGAGACTTAGTGCAGGTCAAGCTGTGAAACTGATGGTTGGTCCCGGTCTCTTTGAGCCTCGCGATCATTCACCATACTCCTGAGTCGCCTCTGCATGAATGACTCGGCAACACGAAGCCTCTGAGCTGGAGGACCATCTTCATCCTCCCCTTCTTCTCGGTCTCCAGGGGTCTCTGAGTTGAAGATGAGGAGGCTGCTGGAGACCTGCTGGCTTTGACGAGATGCTCTCCCTACTCTCCCCTGCATGGGGTAAGGAGACAGAGGGGGGGTGTCTCTCTGTGAGAGTGACACAGAGTGTGTTAAATAGAGCAATAATTATTGATCTGTGCAATATGGACTATTATTATTATATTATATGCAACCGGCAATTAATCAACTGTGTAATACTCAATACAATAATACTATACTTTTTTATTATATACATTTTAACATATTTTATTATATATGTATTCTTCCAAAAGGTGCAGATTTGTTATGAACTTCTCTATGATTTATTATTTATTTTTGATTTAATTGTATTAAATTTATTTTATAAAGTGGAGCAACAAAATCCAATACCCCCTGGGGATAAATTATAAATATTCTGATCAGCTCGTTTTCAGACAGGTTTTTATATAAATGGATCAGGACAAAAAGAGAGAGAAACTTTCAGAGTCTCTATACACAGAGGGGACACATGTTGATGTAGAAGAGACATGAAGAAGTGGATTTTGCATAATAGGTGACCTTTAACAAAATGTTGTCAAATTCAGAGACATGAAATGGTCACTTACTCCAGAGGCTGGGTCAAACTGGTCGGCACAGTCGTACATCTTCCCGGTGTAGATTTTTTCGTAAAAGCGGATCAGATTGACCCTCTCCTCCTGAGCGGGGGGGTAATGTGACGATGGGGAGTCAGGGGTCGGGAAACCGTGAGCAGGGTCTCCATTATCTGTAGTAAATCAGATAAATGCTCACTTTTCAATTGGGAATTACAGTACATTGTCTTAAAACATTGATATGATGGAGAGTTCATACTGTGAGTTTCTGTGGTGAGATGATGAATGTTATACAATAGTGCTATAATGAAGCTCTGAAGCTGCATCATTCTTGATTTAATAGTAGAGTGTTTCATTCAGATTTAAAAGGATGTGTCCATGATTGCAAATTGAAAGCATGATGTAATCTAATCGTAGTGTATATTGTTTTACAACACAATGTATCATCATTTCCTTTTTCAACATTACCATTTAATCTCCGTAAAATAGCTAAATTGTATTACTTCTGCATGCATATGTATGTTTCCTACAAAAGGTGTCTTACTGTTGTTTCCGTTGAGAAGTGTTTCCGTGTCTTGTCCGGAAATCAGCACACTTTTGCAGACCTGACAGCAGAAAATGTCTTCATGAGTTCCCAACTATTGAACATTAGTCACACATCTTATGTTTGAATAATCATTTGTTAAGCAGCTGCCTGAGATGACAGTGGTTTCAATTCTATGCATATGCACTTTTCTTATTTTTGGGTAAAGATGAATAATAAACAATAAACAAACTTACACTTCTGCTTGTAAGTGGTTGAGACTTGTAGCAATGAATTATGTGTTTGAAGGATATCTCCATATTGGTGATCTGTAAAAAGCGATACATTAAGATAGTCATTGGTTCAACCCGATATCACGGCAAGACGTGAACATGTGACGATTTACCATGCTGGGAGACGTGAAGATGTCACGATTTCGTCCCTTCAAACGTGACAGTTACACGGTATTGTTAACCCATGTTAACCAGTGGAGAAATAACCGCGAATTCCAAGCAAATGCTACCCCGACGTAATGATTTATTTTTGAATAGTCACACTCGATTACGCCGATTTTCTTGTTGCCCCAGCTGGTCGACACCTCTTTTAGCAGAAACAAAGGCTACATTAATGTATTAAATCGATGTTAATCGTTATCGATGCATGTGGATGTGGAATTAACGGACGTGACGTTGTGCGATTGAGTTGCCAGGCAACAGCTTCGGTTCATGTTAATTTACAAACTCTTCAACTACAACCTTAGTTATATTTAAAAACATGTTAGAAGGCCTCACGAAATACTTTAATGCAAATTAAAATGTAAATGTAAAGGAATGTGTGTATAACAAAATACATCGGTCATAAACGAAACCGGAAACAGACGTAGGCAAGATCCTCAGCTCGATGATTGGATGGTTTAGCCATAATGCATGCTGGGATTTGGTGTTTATGTGATGTGAAATCTGAAAACGTTTTTTAAAAATAAAATAATACTTTATTCCGAGTGTGCTTGCTTTTCTCTTTGAAAGTCATCACATAACGGCATTGTAATACACGGTTCGGCTGCATTAAATATTACATATCTGCCGTAGTTCTCTATTTATAGAGCCCTGCTGAGAAGACTTCTAGACAAACAGGAAAAACTGCCGCCAAAACTGAAAACGTGACGTGGATCATAAATATATAAGCAATTAAACAACATCTTACATTTCTTTTCACACAATACATCTCCTTGCAGTATCAACACTAATTCGGCTGACTTTTATATTTGATCCAATTGTTAGATAGGCTATATTTACACCATAACGATGGAGAGCTGATAGGAAGGGACACCTGGTGGTTAAGGCACGTTGTTGAATTGTATTATTTTATTGTTACGTCTCACAACGTCACGTCCGTTAATTGGTAATTTTATTAGTTTTAGTCTTTACGTCTTATGAAATAATCAGGGCTGTGCTCCCCTCCCGGCACTCTATCCAGCCGTCTTAGTCCTTACGGTCGCCCTCGCCAATGACGTCAGCCCAAAAAAAATAACACAACAAAAAACAACACATAAAAAAGCAAAAAAAAAAACAAAAATTGGCCGTGCAACACTGCTCCTTCCCTCCGACTCGGTCTTCCGTTGTCGAGAGACGAGATGGTCGCGGTAAAAGCAAGGAATGGACGTGGATACCAGTAGCTTCCTACCCAGTACTGGCTCTTCTTGCTCTAACGCCCAGTTTCGCCGGCTCTACCCAAAAGAGGCGTCCCACCGACCACAGAGGGAAATCCCTATTCCCTCGTTTTCAAGTCAGTAGGCCCTCCCTCGAGCCTCAACTTGGCGAGAGGGAAGCCGCAGCTTTTCCTCAACCCACCAAGCCCGTGGATCTAATCGCCTACGGTGTACCGCGAAGGGATGCCCTCCACAAAGGTCCGTGTCAGGTCGACCCTTCTCTGGTTCCCCATCTGGATCCTTGGTCTTACCTCCCTAATATAGAGAAGCCCGACCGTTACCCTCGCGGCACCCTATGGGGGCTCAGTCTCGACCAACTACACCGCGTCCCTTTTATTCAAACCCCGAGCCTTGACGGATGGAGGCCGCGGCTGGTGCCTATTCGCCCTCTTCTACCTACCTACCTGTCTGCCCCTTTTTACACGTCGCAATGTGTCCTTTTCCTCGGTTGTCTCGCGTACTCACGTATCACCGTATCACAACATCGCTATCAGCAACCGTATAGAATGTACGCAATTTTTCATGATTCAATATTATATTACTTTGTTATACCGATTTTTTCAACAGTAGTAAAAGTCATTTTGTCTAGCTTTTTGATGTTTAGTTTAGATGTTTAGTTTTAGCGACATCGTCAGACATCTAATCCCGTCGGGCGCCATAATATAATGTCAATAATTTTCCTACCGTATAACATTATATTTCATACGCTATTATACGTGTATTCCGTGGTATAACCCGTGTATCAACTACAATGAAATTGTTCGTCGCTTTCAAATATGTGTTAGATGTTTTTATGTTCTTATGTATGAACCTTCGCATTGTTCCCAAATCGTTGGGTCCATATTTACTGTGTCAATACTTGCTGTATATATATATAAACTACATCACCGGTCAATATTTTAATGTGTCAATAATTTACCCTATATATAATAACCGGTCGGATATCCGTGTATAACGTGTTTCAAACCAAACATAAATCCGTCGTCCCACAATATCATAACACAACACCACACACATCCTCCTAGATGATCCCCGTCAACGACCAACATTTCAGACTGGCCGACGTCTTCCTTCCTGCGACCGGCCAAAGTTTCTCCCAAAGTAGGGAGGTATCAAGAGAATTTCGAAAAAAGAATAAGTTTTCTTCTGAGGTTGGGATTTCATGACGGAAATTTACAAATTTAATTCGGGTGTAATCAAACGANTGCTCAGCGTGGAACAAAGCTTCTCAAGACGCTTCCCCATCAACATGTATACCTGAGCCAGAAAAACACAGTTCATCATCACTACAGGCACTAAAGCAGCTCAGATCAGGGCTGCATGATATATCGTATGTAAAAACAACAGCACTTCTTTTATTTGGAAGTACGTTTGTTCAAAAAAGATGACGTAAACAGGTTTTAAAGTCATGCCGAACACATGTGGCAACCGCCGAAGCACGAGTTCCTGCATCCTCTGATATTTAGTTGGAATGGAAATAATGCATTTACATATTTTTGTTTAGATTCTACTGTACATAGGCTACTTATTTTAATACAATTTTTTTTTTTTTTTCAGCAGGTCACCATTGAAAAAGAGGTCAATGATCTCAATGGGTTTTCACCTGAATAAATAAAGGTTTTGAATTGAATTGACAACAATGTGTTTATTTATTGCTTAAGTGCAGCCCTAGTACAGATGTAGTCTGTCGCTATTTGCTTGCTTCACTATAAAAGTTTCCATTCTTCCTTTCTATAAATGATTGCTGCTTGTTGGAGATATTTATCGTTTGTATATAGAACATTTACCATTATTCATTGTCATTATTTTAGATAATTTAAGTAGATTTTATGCTTTGGTTTTGAAAGCAGCTTCAGTGACCAGGTGCTTTATTTATATGTATTGGTAGAGAAGTGGTTGGGCTCTGGAGAGGCATGTTTTTTCCAGGGAAAGAGAAGACATAAAGCCATTGTTGACTCCGGGACAATGTCGTGTTGTGGGATGTTTGCTTACCTTGCGAGCGAACAGGTGGAGGGATTTACTTCTCGGCGGCCTATTTTCAGCTGATAGGTCATTGCTGGAAGAAGCTTCAGCTCCGAAACTGAACTCCACTGACATGTCTCCAGGTGGGTTTCTGTCAGGTTGAAAGTCTGTCTGGTTTTGACCTTCAATTCTTGCAGGAGGCATCACCTGTTGAGTGGATAGAAACATAATTCATAATCATATCACCAGCATCACCTTGGAAGAACCCCGAGTATTAAATCTTGACAAACTCCTGGTGCCAGGTAGAGAGTTTGTGTGTGTTGTTGCCAACCTGTTGGCAGGTGGGCAGATGGCCCTCATTGGCTCGGATGGCTTTCCACAGCGGGGAGTCTGTGGTCCAGGCCAAACTCTCCAGAACTCTCTCTTCTGATTGGGCGAGGTGTGTGACCACATCGCGGGGAAGACACCTCTCAGCCCGCAGAACCAGCTCGATCACCTGTCAGAACACAGGGAAACCAAAATGTGTTTTAAAGGCGATTTTCTCGTATTACAATGTTCTCTTTTCCAGTTGGAGTTAGACAAAAAAAGTCCTAGAAAGACAAGTTAAACTTAACTACAGTATGTGCATTTAAAAAAAGAGGAATAGTTTCGGCGAAAACTAAAAGGTACCATGGGGTCCGATTAGAATGTTCCAAAGGGGAGTTCGTATAGCATGAAACACATTTCAGATGTATCTCACACTGCACTGTAACTTTAATTCATTTATCTTTTGTTATTCATGTTTTATTATCTTTGCTTTTAAATGAGTTTTTAAATGCCATTTTATAATATGTTTCATAATGCTCTTAATGTATTTCATTTTTGTAAAGCACTTTGAATTGCCTTGTGTTGAAAGGTGCTATATAAATAAACTTGCCTTGCCTTAGAACACAGGTAGGTGGTAGCGATCTCACGCAGACACAATATATAACATTTTCTCGTCGTTATATGCAATTTTTAGTTTGTGGTTTATTTAAGTATTTGTACCATTCAATACCAACTCTCCATTTTCTTTCTTCTATGCCCCCATATAGAATTCTCTGAGCGTCTAATGACTGCCACCCAGTGTTCAATATAATACTGCACGATATATCTAAAAACAATAAACATGAAGGGCTCATACATGGGGGATGAAGGTATTCTCAAAGTTAAGAGGTGGTGTTCAAACTTAAACCAGATGAGAAACTAGAAAATAATATAAAAATCTTGGTGACTGAAACTCAGAGAACTCAGAGTTCCCATGAGGCAGAAATGTAAACATATTTTCTGCTGTAGAGCTTGTCTATGAAATACAATTGACCTCCATACAAGCCAATACAAATCATAACACATTTACTTAGTCCTTCACTTCTTATTTATTATGAAGTTATTTAATTGCATGCAAACATGTACGCATAGTCAGGAAAACTCCCACTGTGAGCAGCACGAAGCTTGGAAACACACCTTGATGAAGTGGTAAGGAGCCAGTGTGAGGACCTGAAGGAGCAGAGGGAACTCGTATGGTAGACTGTTTGAGAATAAGGTAATCTCCAGACAACAGGCCACCAGGCAGCGCTGAAACAGATCCAGCTCCAGGAAGACCTGAGACACCTTGGTTGCTGATTGGCTACTGATTGGCTAATGGTTACACAAGACAAAACATCGTTATGACATCATAAAGTTGCCAAAATCTGATCAGCTCATTTTCA